CACACTCACACACACACACTCACACACACACTCTACACTCACACAGACACACACATACTCTACACTCACACACACACACACTCACACACATACACAAACACACACACACTCACACACACACACACACATACTCTACACTCACACACACACACACACTCACACACACACACATACTCTACACTCACACAAACACACACATACTCTACACTCACACACACACACAAACACACACTCACACTCACACACACACATACTCTACACTCACACAAACACACACATACTCTACACTCACACACACACACAAACACACACTCACACACACACACACACACACACAAACACACACTCACACACACACACACACACATACTCTACACTCACACAAACACACACACAAACACACACTCACACACACACACACACACACACAAACACACACACACACACACACACACACACACACAAACACACACTCACACACTCACACACACACACACATACTCTACACTCACACAAACACACAAACACACACATACTCTACACTCACACACACACACACACACATACTCTACACTCACACAAACACACAAACACACACATACTCTACACTCACACACACACACACACACATACTCTACACTCACACACACACACAAACACACACTCACACACACACACACACACATACTCTACACTCACACAAACACACAAACACACACATACTCTACACTCACACACACACAAACACACACTCACACACACACACACACACACACACACATACTCTACACTCACACACACACACACACACACACACACACATACTCTACACTCACACACACACACACAAACACACACTCACACACACACACACACACACATACTCTACACTCACACAAACACACAAACACACACACACACTCTACACTCACACACCATCGGCCATCTGGAAGAAGAAACAGGAGCATTCAGGCCCTAAGAGCCACACGTGTTGTTTATGTCTGTGTGTTGTGGGGTCCATGTGGGTGTTATGTGTGTGTGTGTGTGTGTGTGTGTGGGTGTTATGTGTGTGTGTGTGTGTGTGTGTGTGGGTCCATGTGGGTGTTATGTATGTGTGTGTGTGTGTGTGTGTGTGGGTCCATGTGGGTGTTATGTGTGTGTGTGTGTGTGTGGGTCCATGTGGGTGTTATGTGTGTGTGGGTCCATGTGGGTGTTATGTATGTGTGTGTGTGTGTGTGTGTGTGTGTGTGGGTGTTATGTGTGTGTGTGTGTGTGGGTCCATGTGGGTGTTATGTGTGTGTGGGTCCATGTGGGTGTTACGTGTGTGTGGGTCCATGTGGGTGTTATGTATGTGTGTGTGTGTGTGTGTGTGTGTGGGTCCATGTGGGTGTTATGTATGTGTGTGTGTGTGTGTGTGTGTGGGTCCATGTGGGTGTTATGTGTGTGTGGGTCCATGTGGGTGTTATGTGTGTGTGGGTCCATGTGGGTGTTATGTATGTGTGTCCACACACACACACACACACACACACACACACAAACACACACTCACACACACACACACACATATACATAACAATATGGGACTAACTCACTCCACATTCCTTGCAGGTCCAGATTATGGGACACTGTATAAATATAGTTACTGTATTTCACTGAAATCCTTAATTTGATACGACTGCAGATCAAGATCTTACTTCACTATAACAATGTTGGCTGCTGGAATTACTGTTATTACTAGAATGACTGCTATGCTCATATATGCTAGGCTCTCTGCTAAGCTGCTAGTATATCATAGTGTGTTCCATCCTCCTCTGCACAGCTCCACATCCTCTCAGCACTGTGTGCTGCCTGTGTTCTGTTCTGTATTTACTGTACTGTATTTTCTGCACTGTGTTCCTGTGGGAATGTTGTTTTGTTTCACTGTGTACTTGTATACAGCTGGAATGACAGTAAAGCCTGACTTGACTTGACTCATTCAAAATCTCAAAGTAGCCATACTACTTGTGACATTGTGAAATATACACTATATTGCCAAAAGTATTCACTCACCCATCCAAATCATTGAATTCAGGTGTTCCAATCACTTCCATGGCCACAGGTGTATAAAACCGAGCCCCTAGGCCTGCAGACTGCTTCTACAGACATTAGTGAAAGAATGAGTCGCTCTCAGGAGCTCAGTGAACTCCAGCATGGTACCGTGATAGGATGCCACCTGTGCAACAAGTCCAGTCGTGAAATTTCCTCACTACTAAATATTCCACAGTCAACTGTCAGTGGTATTATAACAAAGTGGAAGCGATCGGGAACGACAGCGACTCAGCCACGAAGTGGTCGGCCACGTAAAATGACAGAGCATCCAAGCCTTACATCACCAAGCACAATGCAAAGCGTCGAATGCAGTGGTGTAAAGCGCCGCCACTGGACTCTAGAGCAGTGAAGACGTGTTCTCTGGAGTGACCAATCACGCTTCTCCGTCTGGGTTTGGCGGTTGCCAGGAGACGGTACTTGTCTGACTGCATTGGGCCGAGTGTAAAGCTTGGTGGAGGGGGGATTATGGTGTGGGGGTGTTTTTCAGGAGGTGGGCTCGGCCCCTTAGTTCCAGTGAAAGGAACTCTTAATGCTTCAGCACCAAGAGATTTTGGACAATTTCATGCTCCCAACTTTGTGGGAACAGTTTGGGGACGGCCCCTTCCTGTTCCAGCATGACTGAGCCCCAGTGGACAAAGCAGCTCCATAAAGACATGGATGAGCGAGTTTGGTGTGGAAGAACTTGACTGGCCTGCACAGAGTCCTGACCTCAACCTGATAGAACCCCTTAGGGATGAATTAGAGCGGAGACTGCGAGCCAGGCCTTCTCGTCCAACATCAGTGTCTGACCTCACGAATGTGCTTCTGGAAGAATGGACAAAAATTCCCATAAACACTCCTAAACCTTGTGGAAAGCATTCCCAGAAGAGTTGAAGCTGTTGTAGCTGCAAAGGGTGGGCCGACATCATATTAAACCCTATGGATTAAGAATGGGATCTCACTCAATTTCATATGCGTGTGAAGCAGACGAGCGAATACTTTTGGCAGTATAGTGTATGTATTGTATCCTTTTACAATTCTTATTTCTTTTATTTATAGTTTTATTATGAGTTTATATTTTTATTAAAGTATTAGTATGTATGTTTGTATTAGTTTTTATTTTATCAATTTATGCATACCACTAATCTTCTGTTGTGGTTTTACTCTATAGTTTTACTTTTGTCTAATTTGTATGTCTAGCACCATGAGATTTTAGAAAGGTGCAGTATATTATTATTATTATTATTGTTGTTGTTATTAAAGATAATAATTTATTCCAGTACTGGGCGAGCTTTGTCTTGTGACAAAAGTCTTAAACATTCTTTCTCTGACAGTGGATAGATATAAAGCTTATAACTTGTTACAGAACAAAACCTCACCAAATATGGATTCTGAAACATGATATTTGAAAACAGTGTGAGAGCATGTTCAGGGGAGAACTTTCAGTTCAGGATAGAAGCTCTATTCCTAGAAGAAGGTGCTGACTTTATTTCAGTGAACGTTCATCAACCACAGAGGCAGAGGCTTATTTCTGATTTCACTTCTCGCTGACACAGGAAACATCTGCACTCTGCATGCCTTGAAAAAGATTCATCGTCAGCTTGTCAGGTTACATGTCTACTGCAGATTACTTTGCCAGGCAGAAGGTTATCGCTGTTTAACGTTAAATACTTGATTAATATAAAGACACAGCTCAGCTTATAATCTGGATGTAGGATTTTTTCTCACAGTAGCTAAGAAGTATCTGTACTTATACACTGAAGTATATCAAGTAAAAAGTAGTGGTTTAATAGATAAATTAGAAGTTTGGTTCTGAGCAGTACCGGTTCTGACACCAAGATAAATCATTACAGTTGCAGGGATATTCTTGATATGGGAAGCATTTCTTTTTCCTAACAAATATGTACAAACATCCTGTCAAAATCGAAAATGACATTAAATACCTACATTTGCAATTCAATTTTTCACATGAGCACGAGTCATTTGTGACAAAAATAAATCTATTTGTAATTTCATGTTAGTCGTTATTCTGGTGTTTCATGGCCAAATCTAGAATGAAAAAGCTAATAGAGAAAAGAAAATCCAGACTTCACTTTGGCTTTTCTTCATGAAATGCAGAAAAAAACTAAAATCAAAATGCAGTGTTTACGTTCCTATTTCTTTTTCATAGCAATCGGCTGCATATCTGACAAAATGAAAATGCAAAATGGATAAATCAACAGTAACAAAGGATAAATCAACACTCAGACCTGCGAGTCAGAACGGCATCATTCCTCGTCCTACGACTTTGAGTCTTGGGGAAAAAACACCGTCGTGTCTCAGATCTGGTGAAACTGAACATCAGACCAAACGCCGTCAGACAAAACGGACTCAGAAAAAACTGGAAATGTTTTTTAAAATGTAAACACTTTATTATCAAACAGCTGAACTCAGTAAACGGAGAGAATAAAAACACCAGCACAGCTCAGAGCTCAGACACTCAGCACAACCTGAAACACACTTCAGCTAAACACACTCCATCCTGCAGCTTCAGCACCACAGCTGCGAGGCTAATGCGGCTTTAGCACCGCAGCTACGAGGCCGATGCAGCTTCAGCACCGCAGCTGCGAGGCTAATGCGGCTTCAGCACCACAGCTACGAGGCCAATGCAGCTTCAGCGCTGCAGCTACGAGGCCGATGCAGCTTCAGCGCCGCAGCTACGAGGCCGATGTAGCTTTAGCACCGCAGCTACGAGGCCGATGCAGCTTCAGCACCGCAGCTGCGAGGCTAATGCGGCTTTAGCACCGCAGCTACGAGGCCGATGCAGCTTCAGCACCGCAGCTACGAGGCCGATGCAGCTTCAGCACCGCAGCTACGAGGCCAATGTAGCTTCAGCGCCGCAGCTACGAGGCCGATGCAGCTTCAGCGCCGCAGCTACGAGGCCGATGCAGCTTCAGCGCCGCAGCTACGAGGCTAATGCGGCTTTAACACCGCAGCTACGAGGCCAATGTAGCTTTAGCACCGCAGCTACGAGGCCAATGTAGCTTCAGCACCGCAGCCACGAGGCTAATGCACCTCTAGTACCACAGCTACGAGGCTAATGCACCTCTAGTACCGCAGC